ATGAGCTCCTCGGACTGGGGGTCGTAAACGCACTCCTATCAAACTAGTCACCGTACAAGGGTGTCCCGCCACCATCAAACAAACTGGGATACCTCAATATAATTGTTCGTGCGCTATTCACAAGAAGGGCAAGGAGGTCTCCTTTTCTAGGAGAATTCCTATCACCTCCCGCCTGAGGGTTTGTGTTAGAACCCAAAAGTTCATTAAGACTCCACTCCTGCAAGAGGGAGGTTCTAAACGTGCGACTCACGACATGACCTTGAATCTTTCAAAGGCAACGACAAGTTGTCCTTAGAATGTCAACAAGGTCTCATGTCCAAATCAACGTCCCTAAAAGAAGACGTTGTTGACCCTATAGTTTTGATGATGATTTGTCAAACAATTTATCGCTAATATATTTTCTAGTTTTGTTTTTATGTTTCTCTTTACAGGTATTTCAACATACGACAATCAAGCGTTAAAGATTCAAGTTTATATGTGTGGAGTTACCTAGGTATAAGAGTAGTTTACTTACATATATTGTATGTTTATATTTAAGCTCAATATATGTACACTTAACACGATTTTTAACGTTCTCTATCATATAAATGATTTTTCATCAAACGTTGTTACAATACCTTTTATTTCATGTTTACAGATCATTCATACTTTATTATATACATATAATATATGCATGATATATATATACATGTTTATAAGTCATATCAAAATTTTCACATTCGTAAAATACAGGTTTTACGAACACTTTTCAAAAACAGTGTGTTTTTTCAAACAAAAATTATTTTTCCAAAAATTCCTTTTCTAACATGTTCATTTTATAATTTAGAAACATTTTCCAAATTTTTACTATTTTTGGAATTGATTTGCTATTTTTAAAGTATTTTCAAAATCGGCCAAAAACAGGTTTTCAGACTGTGTCAGTTTACGGTCGACCGCCACGGTCGACCGCCATGAACTAATTTTCATAGTCAGGCCCATCCAGAGACTTTCGCGGTCGACCGTCGCGATCGACCGCCAGCTTTTATTTTCAAACCTTAGTGTTTTTGTTCTTCGCGGTCGACCGCCATAGTCGACCGCCGAACTCATGATTTGATTCCAACGGCTAGTTTCTGATTTGATTCTCTAGGGGCTTTTTGGTCATTTCAAGTTGGTTTTTGCTGAGTTCTTGAGTGAGTATATATACTCCATTGCTCTTCTATTTCAGTAACTAAGAAAACCAAGAGTTTTGTTTTTACAAGAAGTTTTAACAAAGGTTTAAGAGGCGTTTAAGGAGCTGTTAAGCTAATTTTCGTTAATCTACTTCAAGAGAAGTTTTCTACAACAAGAAGTGGCTTTCAATTCCTATTGGGATCATCATCCACTACTCTTCTTGTTTATTGAGAAGTTTTCTAAACTCTTCCTTATATAGCTTACTATTTCACTTTCATTTATTTAGCTATATTTATTGAGTTGTATTATTTTTATTCACTGTTATCACACACACATATTGAGCTTAATATCTTCATACTATATAGTGTGGGTTGTGGTGTGTGATTTAGTGAATGTGAGCTTCATTTGCGTTCTCACTTGTTGTTGAGAACAAACCATTGTATTTAATCTTTTTTTGTGAGTATCACTTGTAATACACTTGTACACCGAGAGAAGTGTGAGGCGAGAGACGGGGTCGAATCCAATAGGAGTGGCGTCGGTTGACGAACCTAGGGAGAGGTTGCATCAGAGCACTTGAGGAGGAGGACACGGGCTAGGTTCCTACACTTAGTGTGTTAAGTGTGATTGCATAGTGTTTGTTGTGTGAGAGTTTTCGGTAAGCTTGTAAACCGAGTGTGTAGAAGTTCCGGCTTCCAAACCGGATTGTGATAGTGGAGATCTCCTCGAGGTGAGGAGCGGGGACATAGGTCGTGGTGACCGAACCTCGTAAACTTATCGTTTGTTTGTGTTTTGATTAGCGTACCTTTTATTTGTGCTTATTCATATATCTCTTGCTCATATCTTTCTTGTATCTTTCTTACAAGAACAAATTAATCAACATAATTTTTAATTGGCTTTTAATTGGGATTAGATTAGCATAAGATCCTAATCACTCCCCCTCTAGGGTCTAACAATTGGTATCAGAGCTTGGTGCTCTTTGATTTAAGGACTAATCGTCTTGAGTTAAAGATCCAAGTTATCGTTTTTGTGCTAATCTAGTGTTGATTGCCTTTTGCTTCTTGCATATAATCATTATGGATATGTATGATGCATCTAGTCTAGGTTATGCTATTAATGTTGCTCCTCGTTTGGATATTTTTCCATATTCTCAATGGCGTGTTAGATTCAAACTTTTCGTTCAATCTAAACAATTCGATTTATGGGAGATTATTGAGGATGCCTATGTTGTTCCCATTTTGGAAAAATCCAAATGTAGTAAAAATGATAAAAGATTGTTTAACATGAACAAGCTCTTGTTAGAATATTTGCTTAATGCTTTTCACTCATCGTTTTCTAACAAATTTGCTCATTTTGATAGTGCTTAGCCTTATGGAAATTTATTGAAGCACATGAAGGAGACTCGGAGGCTATTCAAAAAGCGTTGGAAGATCGCGCTTTAAGCTCTAAGGAAGCCTCATCTCCATGTACAATACCACTAGGTGATAACCCTAGTGAGGTATGCGAGCTTGATAATGATGATATTATTACTTTTGATGAACTTGCTCTTGAGTTTGAAAAGTTACACAATTGCTATATTGATGTAAAGAGTAAGTATGTAAATATGAAATCCACTCATGAAACACTAGCGACTAAGTTTAATTTTATTGCAAATAAAAATATAATTCTTAAAGAATGCAATGTAAAATTGAGAATTGAAAATACTAGTTTGCTTCATGAAAAATGTGATGCTATGTTAGAAGTAGATAAGTTGAAATCTATGATAAAAAATCTTGTTTATCCTACTTCTAGTACTTCTAGTAGCAATGCTTGTATGCACAATGATGAGTTGAATCAAATAAGAAAACGTATATCCACCTTAGATTCAACACTAAACACTTGTATTGCTAATAATAAAAAGCTTATGGACTTATGTGCAAAGTCCAATGTTAATTCTTCTAAGAAACCTATTCACTATGCACATATGTATGACAAAATTCACAAATGTTCTATTTGCGGTCTTAAAGGCCATTTAGCTCAATTTTGTCATAATGCACCAAAAATTGACAAGCCTATTCATGATTGTGCATCTCATCAAGCTTCTTCATCACATACACATGTGCACACACATAGTGTAAATCATAAACATGCTCATGTGTATTTGTGGTCGTTTTGGTCATTTGGCCATGTTTTGTTTCGATTTAAAAAGAAATTCTCGTTTGCAAAATAATTACAAAGAAAAATCTATTCTTGCAAATGAACCATGTGCATTTCATTTCGGTCAACGTAAACCATTCAAACCTCTACATTGCACAAAGTGCAATCGTATGGGTCATGTTTACAATTTTTGCTTTGATCGTATCGGTGCACAAAATACGCCTAAGCGGGGTTTACAATTTTTGCTTTGATCGTATCGGTGCACAAAATACGCCTAAGCGGGTTCATAATCCTAGGGCCTTGGATTTAAATGATAGGGGTCATGTCCCAAATTTTAGTGGTACCAAAATGATTTGGGTACCAAAATGATTTTTATATCAATTTTTTTTGTTTTGTTTGTTTTGTTCATTTTGTTTGTTGAATAATTGAGTTTTTGAGTTTTAATGATGAATTGTATTTTTATTAAGTTAAAATAAAATATTTTTTTTGTTTTTAAATGGCTAAAAACTTTATATGTATTTATATATCTTATAAAATAATTTTATTAAGGATCAAATTGAATTTTCTTCAAAATCCAGATTTTATAAACTGCCTATGCCTTTTTCTTTCTCGCGGTCGATCGCCACGGTCGACCGTCAAAGTTTCTGGAGTTTATCACGATCGACCGCAGCGGTCGACTGCAAGGGATTTTTCTGCGTCAATTTCGTTTCAACTTCGGGTTTCGGTTTTATTTGGTTATTTTTTTAAACTCGTATCAACCACCACCGTTAATCTCATTTCTGCCCAGATCTGAGCCATCCCTCCTTCTCCTCTTATGATCTGATCCCCTTCATCTTCCAATTCATTCGACAGTTTCTCCTAAAATTCCAGCTCTTCCCTCTCGACCGTGAACACTCGTTCATCAAATCTCGTGTTGAAATTTTGCTAGGTAATCTCTCACCTTTCAATTTCTTTTCTTGCTCTAAAATTTCAACATTTCTATTCTAGGGTTTTGGTATAGAGTTTGCTCATTTATACTTATTGTGCTTTATTTTCTTTTTAGGGTTTTCAATTTCTGTCAAATTTCACCTCTTGTCAAAACCCTAATTAATCATATCTGTCAAAATGCCTCCTAAGAAAAGATCTAAACCTGAATCTGGTTCCTCATCTTCCATTGCCTCTCATTATGAGGATTATCTTCTGTTTAAACCCCTAGTTAAGAAATATAGGGAGTTATGCGAACTGAAAATCCTGCCTACTAGATATATCAAGTATGATCAATTAGCCATCTATGACATTCATATGAT